GGACCCCCGCCCCCTCCTCCGGCCCTTATGGCTCAGTTCCAACTCCGGAATGCCGGCCGCTGTTCTAATACTCGCGAGAATTCTTCTTTCTAGACCAATCACAAAGCTCCCTCGAGACACTGTTGGCGTCAGAGCGCGAGACTAGGCGTGACCACACCTCAAGCTCCGCCTCCTCGCCCACACTCCTCCCTGCACTGTGTCTGAGGCTCCCACGTGCACTTGTTGTGATCTGACGTCACGCGCCGCGGAAGTACAGGTCCGCCCAAGCCCCGCCCCCAAGATGGCGGCACCCATGGCTTGACCCGCGGTGTTCCTTTGCTCCATTTCAAGTTGGAGGTTTGGCCAAGTTTGTAGGCCATGGACCAACCAGGGTTCACGACCTCACTGGTGGTGAGTACTGGAAAGTGGGGTGAGGCGCATGAAATGCTGATGTGCGGCTCTGGAGCCCACGATTGCCTCTCCGTACCGAGAGCATCGTCTGTCCTGCCCTCGGGTTACCTGCTGCCCTGCCCTCGGGGCCATCTGCTGCCCTCTCTGGTATGGAACGCGGGGCTCTCGGGCCGCCCTTCGACCTCATGGCTAGGCTGCGTCTCTCTTCATAAGAGAACAAAGTGGAAAGAAACTATTTTCCAAATGGAGCTTTAGGTAAAAGATAACTCCTTCAATTATATACGATAATCATAAAAAAAGATATATCTAGCAAAACAACAACAAAATCCTTTTTCAAATTGCTCAAATTGACCCAGACTACAACTGTCATTTTGCATCTCTTTTCAACCTCAGTGACATCTTGTGTTCATTCATTCAGCACCTAATGAAACCATTTATTCAACTCTGAGAACTCTTCTAGGCTTTGAGGAGAACGACGAGCACAAATTGACATAGCACCTGTGTTTATGGAATCAATGAACTAAATATTTCTTTCGATAACTATGAGGATACTCTATTTTGACAACCCCAAAGAACAAAACCAAAAATCGTTTAACAAATATTTTGGAGCCTCTGTTACGGCAGGTCCAGCAGGGTGCAGCATTGAACAAGACACAGTCATTGCCTTATGTTTTCATTTTAGAGGAGTGAAGGAAGCTGGCAAGAAACAATTTTTAAAAAAACTTCTTACAGGGGAAAAGGAGTCGTAGAGGCAGGTATTAGCTTAATTACCAAATGTGTTGCAAGTATTGGAAACATAATGGTTAATAAGATAGATATGGTGGGTTGGGCAGGTGGTGGAGACAAATGAATGTTAGGATGAATGAATGGCGGAAGGCTGGTTGAGGCTGTTAGGGAATATGAGCAAGAGGCCCCCAGCCGGATCGTGAGATGATGTCTTTAAATATAGGCTTGGGTTTGTGTAGTTATTAGAGATAGAGTGAAAGATGAGCTTTCCTGTGTCTCTAGTGAAACAAAAATAATGCTTTTAACAAATATCATCCCTACTGGGTAAACACTTTGACATACATGATCCCATTTAATTCTCCAAACAACTAAACTCTTAGTTTTCCAAATGAGGTCCAGTGAATACATAGAAAGCAAATGAAAATACCACAGCTTGGATCGGGTATACCTTCGTCTTTAAACTGATATCGTTGTTCTTTGGCATTTTAGAAAGGTCTTTGACAAATTTCCCCAGTGCAACGCATCTTTTTATTACTGCTAAGAGGGTAGATTGTAGATCCAAATATAATGAACACCAACCATTGAGCTCCAATCTCTTCTTCATCTATCATGATGTTGCTTATTGGTGCAGTGGCGGGGATTTTTATTTTCTTGATGTTGAGCTGTAATCCATATAGAGGGCTGTAATTTTTCGTCTTCTGCAGCAAGTCTTCACATTCTGCAAGCAAAGTTATGTGATCTACATAATGCAGATTGTTGATGAGTCTTCCCAGTCCTGATGCCACATTCTTCTTGATAGAGTTCAGTGTCTTGCATTATTTGTTGCATACAAATTGAATAGGTATGAAGAAAGGATACAACCTTAACATACACTTTTCCTGATTTTAAATCAGATGGTATTCCCATGCTCTATTTAGACAACTGCTTTTTGGTCTTTGTATAGGTTTCACATGAGCACAATTAAGTGTTCTAGGATTTCTGTCTTTTTCAAAGTTAGCCATAATTTGTTGTGATTCATACAGTCTAATGCCTTTGCATAGTCAGTATAAAGCACAAACGTCTTACATTCTCTGTTTTCAGCCAAGATCTGTCCATCATATTCAGTATTATATAATGTTATTTCTCATTTTGTGGCCTCTTCTAAATCGAGCTTGAATTTCTGACAGTTCTCTGTCAATGTACTGTTTGAGTCGTTTTCATATAAGCTTCAGCTAGATTTTACTTGCACGTACTGTTAATGATATTGTTCTAGAATTTCCACATTCTGTTATTGTTGTTGTTGATCGCCTTCGAGTTGAGCACGATGCCTACTAATCCTATGAACAAAAGGCCTAAAGCCCCTCTACAACTTTTGACATTTATCAAAGTTCATAGAGTTTCCTGAGGCATGTTATTTAGGAAGTGAATGCCACTCCTGCTTCCAAACCTGTCATAGAGTGTTATTGTTTATATGTGCCAGTGAATTGACTGTGATGTATAGCGACCCTATGTATAGCAGTTCTAAACTCTTCCCTGTCCTGAGCCAGTCGCACGAATTTTTTTTTTGAGTGGTTAAGTGTATAGGTTTGTTGTTTTTTTAAATTTATTATTAATTTCAATGAAAATTTACAGAGACTTTGGCTTTCCATTCATTCATTGTTGCACTTTTCTCCCCTCCCAACCCTCCCCCCAGTACACTCCCTCTTGGAAAAGTAAAAGAAAAATTCTTTCATTGTTTTATAGACCCTCCCCCCAGGTCCACTCTACTGTACAGCCTTCGCTCTGTACTCCTGTCATGACAAAAATCCCTAATCATTTTCCCTCTTAAACCGTTTTCTCCCTCATCTGTTTCAAACCAGTATACATTATTGAACCCATCCTTCTCAGTCTCCTCCCAACCCCGAGGTCAGTCCTGCTTTACAACACAGTCATACTAATTCTGACACACCAACCCCCATTGCCCAGTTACTGTATCAATCCATCGCATCTGGGTTCTCCCTCTCCTGTGCTGTCCATCCACCCTTCTGAGCATGATGTCCTTCTCCAAGGACCAATCTCTCCTGGCCATGTGCCCAGAGTAAGTGAGGCAGAGCTTGAAAATCCTAGCCTCCAAGAAAATACTTGGTTTCACTCTCTCCAAGACAGACCTGTTTGTTTTCTTGGCAGTCCATGGTATGTTTAAGACTTTTCTTTAGCACCACAACTCAAAGGCATCTCTTCTTCTGTCATCCTTAGTCATTGTCCAACTCTCTGACACATAATAAGTAACTGAGAAGACCATGGCCTGGATTAGGCATACCTTTGTGTTTAGACTGACATCGCTGCTCTTCAGCTCTCTGGAGAGGTCCATAACAGTAGACTTTCCCAATACAATTCATCTTTTAATTGCCTGACTGCTGGTGTTAAGAGTGTTGATTGTGGATCCGAGTAAGCTGTAATTGTTAACAACCTATTAGATCACCCTATTTGAATGGGAGAAAATACGGATCTCTTCCAGTCCATCCAAGGCTGCATCTATGTGTTAAAACACATCAGTTGATATTCCTGGGGCCTTATTTTTTTTTCTAGTTCTTCAGTGCAGCGTGCATTTCTTCTTTCATTGCCAGTGGTTTTTGATCATAGCTTTCTTCCTGAAATGGTTCAGGAAGAGCTGGAGTCAGAAAACCAGAAGGGAAGGACACTCTGGGCATTTCTCAAGCCGAAAGAACTGAGTAACAGTTTCAAGCCTTGAGTTGTAGCGCTGAAGGATTCTATGGGCAAAATCTTCAATGGTACAGGAAGCATCAAAAGAAGATAGTAAGAGTACACAGTCACTGTACCAAAAAGAATTGGTTGACACTGAATTATTTCAGGAAGTAGCATTTCAACACCATATTGTTGATGTTGTTGTGTGTCTGCTGTTAGGGACCTCTCCAAAGTACTGAAGAGCAGTGGTGTCTCTCTGGAGACTAAGGAGCATCTGATACAGGCCATGGTCTTTGCTATCACTTGTTATGCATCAGAGAGTTGGGCAGTGATTAAGGAGGATAGAAGGAAAATTGATGCCTTTGAGCTGTGGTGCTGGAGAGAGTATTGAGGGTACCATGGACTGCTAGGAAAACAAACAGATTCATCCTGGAGAGTGTTAAACTGGGCGGCTCCTTGGAGACAAGGACTCTGCAGCTCCGTCTAACATACTTTGGGCATGTTATAAGGAGGGAGAGGTCCTCGGAGAGGGACATCATGCTTGGGAGGGTGGAGGGACAGCGCAGGAGGGGAAGACCCTCTATGAGGTGGATTGATTCATTGACTGGGGTAATTGGGATGGGAGTGTCAGAGACAGATTGGCACAGGACAGAGCAGAGTTTAGGGCTGTTGTACACATGGTCACTATGAGTCGCAAGCAACCCGATGGCACATAAAAACAATAAACAACAACTTTCTACAGAGTTTTTGTGGCCTAGTGGGTGAAGAATTGCACTGCCAACCCAAAGGCAAGCAGTTCGAATCCACTAACTCCAGGGGAAAAAAGATGAGGAATCTCCTTCCATGCTGTTTACAACCTCAGAACACACTGGAGAGTCGGCTGTGAGTTGGCTCTGCCTTGAGGTACACTGTCAACTCAAGGGCCAAGGGCACTTGATCGAATCCACCAGCTCTACTGTTCCAAGCATGGTATCCTTCTCCAAGGACTGGTCCCTCTTGGTGATGTGCCCAAAGTATAGAGCTTCAAAATCCTTACCTCTAAGGAGCAAACTGCTTTCACCCTCTCCAGGAGTGGTCCATGATTTGTTCAGTACTCTTCTACAGCACCCGTTAAAGGCATCAAATCTTCTATCATCCTTACCCATTGCCCAGCTCTAAAATGCATAGCAAGCAATTGAGAAGGCCCTGGTCTGGATCAGGTGCATCTTAGTCTCTTGACTGATGTTGTTGCTCTTTAGCACTCTGGAGAGATGCTTGACAGCAGACTTTCCCAATGCACCTTGTCTTTTGATTTCCTGACTTCTGGTGCCACAAATGTTGATTGTGGATCCAAACACGATGATGAACTGTTAGCAACTTCAGTTCTTTCCTATTGGTCTAGAAGTGAGGATCTGTGTTTTCTTGATGTTGATATGCAATCCAAACAGAAGGCTGCAGTCCTTGACCTTCTGCAGCAAACACTTCAAGTCCTTATTTTTGGTAAGCAACATTGTGTCATCTGTATAAGGTAGGTTGTTGATGAATCTTCCTCCAATCTTGATGCCACATCCTTCTTCATAAAATCCAACCTCCCAGATGATATGTTCTGCATATAAATTGAGAAGTTATGGAGAAAGCATACATCCATGACATACTCTTTTCTTGATTTTAAACTATACAGTGTATTTTGCTCTATTCATAGGACTGTTTCCTGTTTCACATGGGCACAGTCAAGTATTCTGGGATTCCCATTCTTTTCTAGATTAGCCCCAATTTGTTTTGACCAACACAGTCAAATGCCTTTGTGTAGTCAGTAAAACACAAATAAAGATTCTTCTGATACACTTTACTTTCATCTGTGATCCACCTGACAGCAGCAGTAATATCTCTAGAGTACTGAATTTTCAGTACTCTTCTCCAGTACAAATCAGTGGCATCGGTTTTCTTCTGTTATCCTTATTCATTGTCTAATTTTCAGATGCATTGGAAGCAATTGAAAATTCTGTGGCTTACATCAGTTGCACCTTAGCTTTTAAACTGACATCCTTGTTTTTTAGCATTTTAGAGAGGCCCTCAACAGTAGATTTTATCAATGCAGTGTCTTGATTTCTTGAGTGCTGTTACCTTGGATGTTGATCTAAATAAAATGGCATTTTTGACCAGCTGTTATAAGTCTGGAAGCTTATTTACTAAGCAAAACTAAACTTTTTGATAAATGATCTTAAAACAAATTTCTCATGTGAAAGTAAAAGAATTTAGTAGAAAACTAGAATATTTTAGAGTTCCGTTAGTGCTAATGTATAATTTATATTTAAAATAACAGACATTCTTAAATATATGTAAGGCTGTTTTAGCTATCCAGGGCTGCTATAACAGAAATACCCAGTGTAGGAGGCTTTAGCAAACAGAAATTTCTCTTTCAAAATTTACAGGGCTGTAGGTCCAAATCCAGGACACCTGCTGTAAGGGAAGGCTTCATCTCTGTGTCTGCTCTGGAGAAACTCTTGGTTTCCATTGGTTTCTTGGAAATCTTCATGTTGTGTGACGTCTTTCTTTCCCTATTTCAGCTCATTACTCTGTGCCTAATGTACTATTATTATATATGTATCTGAAAAATGATTGGCTTAAAACATACAGGCATCAGGAAATCAAAAGAAAAATTGCTTTAGGTAAATCTACTGTCAAGGACTTTTCCAGAGTACTGAGAAGCAACGATATCAGTACAGAGACTGAGGTGTGCCTCTCATCAGTCCATGGTCTTCGCAATTACTTGCTATGCATCAAGAGAGTTAGACAGTGACTAATGATGATAGAAGAAGAATTGATGCCTTTGAGTTGTGCTGGAGAAGAGTCTTGAACATACCATGGACCGCCAAGAAAACAAATCTGTTTTTGGAGAGAGTGAAAACAAGTTTCTTCTTGGAGGCTGGATTTTGAAGCTCCATCTTACATACTTTGGACATGTGGCCAGGACAGACTGATCCTTGGAAAAGGACATCATGCTTGGATGGGTGGAGGGACAGCGCAGAGAGGAAGACCCCAGATGAGAAGGATTGATAACAGCAATGGGGATTGGTGTGTCTGACTCAGTGAGACTGGCTCAGGACAAGGCAGACTTCAGAGCTGTTGTACCTAGTGTTGCTGTGAGTTGCAGATGACTCGATGGCTCATAACAACAACAACAATAATGTCTTTTAACAAAGATACTCATGCTTAAATAGCACTCTAAGTACAAGCATAAGTGTTTAGACTCACAGCACATATTATGGGGACACAGTTCAATCCAGAAGAGACACTAAATATTTAGGAAATATTCTTGAGGTTCCCTGATGCCCCTCCTCCTGCCCAGATTAATGAATTTAAATAACATTTAGGTTATAGATAGTTGAAATTCACAAGTGCAGTTAATAAGTATTGATTCATGTTTTGTAACAAAACAAGTAGGTTGAAGCTGGTCATTTTCTCCCCAGACAGTAATGATTCTGATGAAAGAATGGTTAGTGAATCAATGCATGCAAAGGAGACAGATAGCTTAAAAGAGTAATTAGCTTATTGATTACAATTTAGCAGTAGATGGCCAGCACCTCTCTGAACCTTCTCCTAAAATTAAAGAGAAAATGGGAAGGACATGGAGCGTATTTCCAGAGTCCAATTTTATCTGACATTATCACCAGGATTTATTCCTTCCATTCTTTAAGAAAATAAAGAGTCAGGCAAAATGCTTTTATTTACATATTGAATCTTATGAGATTGTTTAGGAACTAAGAAAATTTTTGGAAAAGTTTGGCTTTTTAGCTTCTATGTTACCTTTGTGTCTTTCTGATGACGTACAAAGTCCACTTTTACATTCAGAGAGAGGTCTTTCTTTAAAAAAACCATATTTTTTTACTGCAGCTATGGTTCTCCATTGCTACATCACTGAGCTTCGTGGCACCTTTTTAAAGTTTATTTTAGGTTAGACTTTCACGATCTTTAGGATTCTTTTATGTCTTTCAGGCTTATCACAAAGCATTATGGTTAAGGAAATGTAAACTAATGCCTAATCATTTACTAAGGCTAGATAATATTACCATTTTTTTAAAACAAAATAGGATCTGTGTTTATATTTTTTCTGACTTTGGCTCTGCTTTGGGTGAGGTGTAACTAGTTTTGAAATTTTTCACGTCAGCCTCACCATAGTCATGATGTGCGGACTTTTTAAAATGCTGCTACTCCAAAGTAGCCTGGTGTCTCTGGAAGATGGATACTTTGGGCAAGTTTTAGTTCCTCTAACTTTTTTCTTTATCAAATTTAAAAATTACCAAGGAATTCAAATATACACAAGGTTGTTGTTAAGTGCCGTCAAGTTGCAGGCGACTCATAGAGACCCAATGAAGGAAAGCCCTGGACACTTCCTGTATGACTTTATACACAAGGTAGAAAGAGTATTACTTGAATCCTTTGCTGTGTAAATTTTAAAATACAGTTCTAGATGTGCAAGGTTCTGGTTGTGTGCTGTCCAATCAGAACCATAGTTGACCCTCACGGGTTTTCAGAGGCTGTGGATTGAGCAGGGGGAGATGTCCTGGCCATGTCTCATGGAGGAGCTGGTGGGTTTGAACTGCTTACTAAGCCACCAGAGTTCCCTGTTAAAAAACATAGATTTGTGACATTTTAGTTAAAAGACAAAAATTTAACACGTGGGTTGATAGGAAAAACTACCAAAATAAATTGTTACATGAAAATAGACATTTGCTTGCAGAAACTGGAAAAATACAGCAGAAAGTCAATGACACAAATAAATGAGTTCTTGGGAATGCCAAATGGAGGGCAGAGTGGAACAGAAACTTTAAACTTTCTGTTTTTCTGAGAACTATTTTCTGTGCAACTTTATGAATAATGTGAGAACTATGTAAAAACAAAAAATAAAGTGTAATGTAAAATTTACAGTTTGAAAATGTAGCATGATAATGTTTATTTTCCAAAGAAAATATTTAAGTTTTGATAGACCATCTGACTATGCCCAAGTAGTTGATGCACTGAAAAGTATGAGCTTGTTGTAATGTGCCGTCAAGTCTGAACCGACTCCTTTCTTATCCCTGCCCCTAAATGTCAATAGAACTATTTTATTGCAATCTTGTTGATTTTTTTTTTATCTCCCTCTTTTGTTTGCTTTTTCCTTTTAAGGCTGGTGGGGTAGCAGGTGTCTCCGTTGACTTGATACTGTTTCCTCTGGATACTGTTAAAACGAGACTGCAGAGTCCTCAAGGATTTAATCAGGCTGGTGGTTTTCGTGGAATATATGCTGGTGTTCCTTCTGCTGCTATTGGATCCTTTCCTAATGGTAAAAACGATATTGATGCTTTTACTACTGTAAGCCCAGCCTAATGGGATTTGTTTGCAGAACGCTATGTGGTGTTAACCCCACATAAGAATTCCTTCCATGTTGTAGTTTAGCTTTTAAATCTGTTTTATATTCATTACCCTGTTGCTTTTGATCAGTTGGTTCTGTAGATTCCATTACAATATATTTGTACTCGAAAAACCACAAATAGTCTTTTTAGGATGGTCTTTGTTTAAATTCCTTGTTAGAACACTTGAAGAGGTATTACAACATTGCCTGTTTTCTCAGATCACTGGTCTTTCCCACATGTAGGAATCTCTTGGGAAACTTTAAAGAATGCTGATACCTGGGCCTCATGTGTTGTTGTTAATGTACTGTAGAGTCACTTGTGACTCGTAACAACCCTATGTACAAGAGCCCTAAACCCTGCTCTATTCTGTGCCGACTTTATTTTCTTGGACACACCTATCCCCATTACCCCAGTAACTGAATCAATTCATCTCATTGAGGGTCTTCCTCTCTTGTGCTGTCCCTCCAACCTCCCAAACATGATGTCCCTCTCTAAGGACCGGTTCTTCCTTGAAACATGTCCAGAGTATGTCAGATGAAGCTTCAGAATGCTTGACACCAAGGAGCAGCCCGGCCTCTCCAGGACAAACTTGTTTTCCTAGCAGTCCATGGTATGTTCAACACTCTTCCAGCATCACAGCTCAAAGGCATCAATTCTCTATCATCCCTAGTCATTGTCCAGTTCTCTGACACATAGCAAGCAGTTGCGAGGACTATGGCCTGGATCCACTCCATGCTGAGTGCAGAGAGCTTTACCACCGCATTACTCATAAGCTTAACCACTCTCTACTCAACACCGATTCACAGCTGACTCTCCAGCAGGTTTTCAGATGCTGTAAATCGTACTCCAGGAGATTGCCCCTGTGTCTCCCACGGAGCAGCTGGTGGATTCAAACCGCTTGCCTTTGGGTTGGCAGCACAACTCCTCACAACTAGGCCATCAGAGCTCCTTAATCTGATCTCAGAGTGGAATGCAGTTAGAAATATAGCTGTATATTTGGTGACTGGACCCAAGTAGGAACAGCTGCAATTGGGAGTAGAAACCTGTTAATATAAACCTGTTTCATTTGACAGGTGGTCAGCTATGGCCACTGTACCTCTGCATCTGGCAAGATGCTAATTTATCAGCAGCTTGAGGATTGTTTACAAGCATGTTAACTTGAACTTTAGAAGACTGATTGCCATTATCAAGCTGTTTTTAGGAGTGTTCAGACCTTCCTGTGAGATATTCAAATGTCCTTGGAAAGAGGAATTTGTCATTCATTTATCTTTCATGGCTTATCTTTTATGGAAGTGATAAACATCTTTTGATTAATAGTACATGGAAGGTCTTATAACTCTCATTTGCAGCTAAGATTACTTCATGATAAGGACAGCTTTTCACTGACTTCAATTTTCAGTTTTAATTAAATAGCTGATTGTTTCTTTGATGTAAAGGTGGGATGATTCATAAGTGAAAATATGTGCTTGTGTTTTAACCTGCAATCTTTAAAGGACCTCTGATGATGCAGTGTACTTTGAGTTCACAGTTCAAATCCACAGTTGCTCCAAAGGCATTCAAGATTTTCACAGCTTTGGAAACACGGTGGAGGATTGTCCTGAGCCAGAATGGACTCAAATTGCAGGGAATTTTATTTTGGTTTATAAACCAAAGTGCTGTGCCTCTGTAATTCAAGCAGTTACGTGCTCAGCTACTGACTGGAAGTTTGAAGACACCCAGAGGGGCCTTGCAAGTCATTTGGAAGTCACAGCCAGTGAAAATGCCACAGGTCTGCTCCAAAAATCCTCGTGGCTTTGTGAGTCAGAATTGACTAACATCAACTCGATAAATCAGTATATCTTTTTATGGTCACCTTGCAGTGGTACCGGGGATATGGAGCACTGAACACCGTACTCTTCCTGGGAAGCTAATTAAGATATTCAGTGACTTGCTGTCTACCCTTAAGTCAGTTTTGACTCCTAATGACAGAAAATCATTGTAGGGTTTCTGTGCTGTTATTTTTATGGTACTCGATGCCAGGCCAGCTCTGGCATAGGCCATAGGGTGCTGTGCTGCTGGACCCAAAGGCTCTGTCTCTGTTGGTTCAAATCCACCAGCAGCTTCAAAGGAGGATGATAGGCAGTTTCTCCTTGTTGTAAATTTACATCAGGAACTTGATGGGGAATCATTCTGGGTTTTCTCCGGTGAAGTAGCTGGTAGATTTCCTTGCTGCTGACTTTTTACTAGTAACCAAGACCTTACCCATCACCCCAGCAGCAGTTCTAACTTATAAGTATGAGGTGGTAAATACTCGGCTGATTCTTAGGTTCCTTCAGAAGAGGGATGATGTCTCCTTCCTCTTAGTAAGTCTAGCGCCAGGTACGTAATGTGGACTCAGTACATTGTAAAGAATGAGGTCATGAAAGTACCTGTTCAGCTATTTATTTGCTAGCTCACAGTGTAGTAGAGTTGTTCTTCTTTAAAAACATATCAGATCTCTTAATAGTTTAATTACATATATGTCTACACTTGGTGAAAGACTGGTTTGCTTTCATTCCAGCTGCTGCCTTTTTTATCACCTATGAATATGTGAAGTGGCTTCTGCACACTGACTCGTCGTCATATTTGAGTCCTGTGAAGCATATGCTGGCTGCCTCTGCTGGGGAGGTGGTGAGTAGCAGCACGTTATATTTATAAAATACTTCAGAATAATGTAAAGTATGCTCATCTCTCTGGTTCAAATCATACTCTATTTAAAAAGATTCTTTTTAAAGAAGTCATACATTTAAGTGCATGTGAACAAGTTAAACATGACAGTGAAGAGAGCTGGGGATGAAAGGAGAATCCAGCTGTGTGCTGTTCACAAAGTCCTAGAACATTACTAGGCAGAAAGATAAAAATTACAGAGATTAAAAGAAGAAAAGGGCCATGCAAATTGTTGACTTTGAATTGTGTCCATGTAATTGGTCTGGAACAAGTATTCTGAGAACTCCTTTTCCAGTATGGTTCCAAGAGTAATCTGCATAAGATGTGTAAGGAGAAAGTGAAAGAGCAGGCGTATTTTGTGTTCAGAAGGTTGGTGGAAGTCCAGGTGTGCTGGAGCTCACTCACCCTCTCATTGGTCTGTGCCGGCCCCGCTAATAACAGCGTATAGCCCTTCCAGTTTCTATTGAAGTTTTTTCTTTAGGATTTTCTGGAAATGTTCTTACCATGCAGCATCAAGATGGGTAAGAGACAGGGGTTCTCTGTTTACATTATCTTTCCTCCCACTTCTCTCTCCTGACTTCTGTCCCAGCACTCAGTGCAGAAGCAACAAGTCTATGCAGACTGCTTCATCAACTCTCACAGTTGCTTATTGAATCCCTGTTCTTACCCCTTATGGTGGCTCTGCATCTCTTATCAAATCTTAATTGGTGGGGAAGTTAGTAATAAACAAATGCACACATACCCTCTCCCCTTCATCCCCCCCCCCAAAAAAAATCTCAAAGAAAACTTAAGAAAAAAGAGACCACCATTGCATAATGATAGTTCTCTGAGGACTGTGAAAAGCCTGAACTGTATAAATAACATATTTTTAAAACATACAGAAAAAATTGAGATGATAGAGAAAAATGAACAGTCTTGGAGGTTGGGTATATCTTTATTCCAAGGTGCTAAGATCAGGTAGAATGAAAAGACTAAGACCCTCGTAGAGTTGAATACAGTGGCAAGGCTGATTGAAGAATGCTTGTAGAACTCAGTGCCCAACAGTGAAGCGGTCTGTATCTTTTCAGAACATCCTTGGAACATTACTAAAACTGGGTGATCCATTCATTCACAAAGCTGTTTTTAAGGATTGCTGTGGAGAAGGTGTCATAGAAAGTACAGCTGCTAAGTGCTGAAGGGCCTTCTTGGTCGTTGTTCACCTTCCACTTTACTGAACAAGATGTCTTTCTACAGGGCCTGGACCCTTCTAATAATTCTTTTTTTAAAAAAATTTTTATTTATTT